TAGAAAGTCAGGGAGCTAATGAGGCCTCTGTTCCTGACTTCTAAGGATGGGGCACCAGATCACCCATCATTGGTGGAGAAGAAGAAAGGTCCTTAAGTTTGACCAAGCTAAAGGAGGGGACCTCCTGCTTTGGGGGATGGAAAAGGTATGGGCCAGGGTCCTGAGCTTCTCCTGGAGGCCAGCATTGCCACACGGCCATGTTTCTCACCTTGGCACCACTGACTTTCTGGGCAGGATCCCAGGATCACAGTGGGGGATTTGCAGTGGGGGCTGTCCTGTGCATTGTAGGGTGTTGAGCTGCATCCTGGCCTCTATCTGCCAGCAGCACACCCTCCAGACATTGCAAAGCATCCCTGCGGAAGGAGGGTAGCAGTGCTGTTCAGAAACCCCTGAACTTATCCTGCTGCACAGACCCAGGCTCTGGGCAGCTCTGAAGCTGGCCATGGGTACAGGAGTCCTCTCCTAGCCTGGCACTCCAGGAGATGGAGGAGGGTGGGCAGCCCTGGGTGGGTCTATACTCCTTCACAGACTCTTCTCCATCACACTTGGAATTGACAAGATGCACTGACAGCTGATTTAGTGACTCACACAAGGTTGACACTTCTCTTTATTATCAGGGCCTTAAAAACAATTTATCACTGTGTATTTCATTATTAAATGCCTTTTTTTTTTTTTTTTCTGATGATGGTGCCTTTAGTACTCAGGTATTTAGAAGTTGACCTGAGTGGCTCAGTTGTTTGAGCATCCAACTCTTGATTTCGGCTCAGGTCATGATCTCAGGGTTACGAGGTCCGTGCTGAGGGTAGAGTCTGCTTAGATCCTCTCTCTCTTCTGGAGCACTTCAGTGGCTCAGAGGGCGTCCAACTTTGGCTCAGGTCATGATCTCACGGCTAGTGAGTTTAAGCCCCACACGGAGGTGGCTGCTGTCAGTACAGAGCCAGCTTCGGATCTTCTGTCCCCCTGTCTCTCTGCCCCTCCCCCTGCTTGCTTGCTCTCTCTCTCAAAAATAAATCTTTAAAAAAAAAAAAAGATTTGGGGCGCCTGGGTGGCTTAGTCGGTTAAGTGTCTGACTTTCCGACTTTCGCTTGGGTCATGATCTCACGGTTTGTGGGTTCGAGCCCCGCGTCGGGCTCTGTGCTGACTGCCAGCTCGGAGCCTGGAGCCTGTTTCAGTCTGTGACTCCCTCTCTCTCTGACCCTCCCCTGCTCATGCTGTCTCTCTCTCCTAGAAATAAAAAAAAAAAAAAAAAAAAAGATTCTCCCTCTCTCTGCCCTTCTCCCTGGCTGGTCTTTCTCCCTCCCTCCCTAAAAAAAAGGAAGAACCTTGAGATTTTTAACTTTAATATTCATTGCATTGTGGATGCTGATGACTGTAAGGTCAGGTTTAGGGCTCTGGGGGGACACATTTTCCTGGATCTACAACGTTTCCTTTTTGATGCTGGGGGACTTGGTCACCAGTTTTGGATGGATTATCTGAAGCCAAACATGTGAAGAGGATTAGCCCCCTTGCCCTCCCACTTTTCTTTCTCAGCCTTGGTCTGAAACCAGCTGCTCATGCTGTACAAACGGTAAGGGTGTATCTCTGTGATCCAGGCCTCTGCCTCAGCCACGAACGTCTCTCAAGGCTGCTACAGCCACTCCTGCACTGTCCTTCCTCCGGTCAGGCAGGAGACCACTCGGAGCACTTCTATTGGTAGAGAACTTCTCAAGGTTTCACAGTGGGGCTGCACAGCCTGGTAATGATACCAGGATGCTGCCAGGAAGTTGGTGTGGGGAGCACTGAGGCACCCACCTCACAATTGAAGAAACCTGAGGCCAAGGTAAATGACATGCTCAAGTTCACCTGCCGCAGGTCCTCTGTGAGAGGGCTGCACAACACACGGTGTAAAGACAAGGCCTACCGAAATCTCCAGCACCTTTGCGGAAAGTCTCAATTACCTTCCCCTAACTCTCCGAACACTTTCCTGAGGCAGTTAGCTCCGCAGTAACCAACAGAACAGCAATGAGGAGTGTGTGTCTGGCCTGTGATGGGCACAGCACGAACCATTTGGAGCCCACCTGCTCCAGCTGGAGAGCCCGGCAACAGGCTGGCCCTGTGGTTGTGCGTCAGGACCTGTGGGGGGGGGGGGGGGGTGCGATCATGCTGCTGGGTTCTTAAGCTTTTCCATCTGAAGGTTCAGCCCAGCCAGATTGGTTTTGACCACACCCAACCCACACACAGGCTTGAAGCCCAAAAGAATCACCTTCAAGTCCCCACTGGAGACTCAGGCTCCCTCCACATGTACTTCCTCCTGCTGACCACGCCCCTCAAGAACCGACAGACAATAGAAAACTACAAACAAGGACACACAAACCAGCAGGGGATCTTGTTCAAGTGCAGATTGCACTTCAGTGGGTCAGAGGTGGGTATTGAGGAGAAGCGCTGGATGGGGCAAATGTAGTTGGGCCACAGGCATGACAGAAATTATCTCACTTCCATCAAGGATGGAATTTTGTAGCTTCCAGCCTTCTACCCATCTCTAAGCCCTGAGTAGGCCAGCTGGTGCCCCTCACCTGCCCACATCACCTAGAATGCTGCCCGTCCCCCTTTACCCCTTGCCCCCACTTCTTAACAAATCTAGGTGGGAGCTCTCCCCCCAGCGTGACGGCTGTTTGCTGACAGTGATGCCCATTCTCAACAATCAGCAATGACCACAGACCCACATGTGGTTTAGGGGATTTAGCTCTGAAAGTCAGCACCTCTGTGCACAGTTTGCTCTCTCAGCTTGCAGAGTGTGTATCTCTTTGACCAAAAAAAAAAAAAAAAAAAAAAAAATCAATCTGGAATACATTAAAATTACCTGAATTGATAACAAACCATTCTATCAGGTATTTTGTAGTTTTCAGACCAGTGGACATCCTCAACCTTTTGTCTGGAATAGTTTTTTTTCCTTTTGGCATTTTTGCCTTGATTTGGAATCCTGTCTACATGACTGGACCCCGAGGGCAGATTGGTGGGTTTCATTTTTGTAAATGCAGGAACTATAACCCCGTGCCTCTGCAATGCCCCTGGCATGTATGTAACAGGATATTTTAGTGAAAAGAAGTAAAAATTAAATTCTAAGCGATACAGTTTGCCAATCTGTGTTAAAGGATTTAGATATATGTGTGCTCCATGGCATACTCATTCCATTTTTTGTAGTCAATTCTAATAAGTGAATTCAAGAAACACAGTATGTTATAAAAGCTAAACACTGAGAACATCTTGAATATCCAATAATGGAATAATTAAAAATTATGTCTATAGGGGAGCCTGGGTGGCTCAGTTGGTTAAATGTTCAACTCTTGATTTCGGCTCAGGTATGATCTCCTGGCTCATGGGATCAAGCCCTGCTTCAGGCTCTGTGTTGGCAGTGTTAAGCTTGCTTGGGATTCTGTCCATCCCCTGCTCGAGGTCTTTCTCTCTCTCTCAAAAGAAAGACACATTAAAAAATATTATGTCTATATTTATATTTGCAGCTCTTAAAAACCTAATTTGTTAAGAACACTTAATGAATATGTTTCTTATATAACATGAGGTTAAAAAAAGTAGGTTGCAAAACTAGTTAAACAGCATGATCACAATTTTATCAAATATATAAATGTATACTCAGAAAAAGGAACAGAAATAATATACCAAAAGGTTAATAGAATTGATTGCTGACTAGTATAATTGTAGGGGACCATTTTTTCTTTCAATTCTTTGTGTTCTCTAGTTTTCTTTTATCATGAATTTCTAGCAATTTTATAATTATATAACTTATAAATTACAATTATTTGTAGTATACCTTATAATAATTTTTAAACCCTTACTTGTTCTGTCTTCTTAACTTCATCACAAGTTCCTGAAGGATGAGGATCTTGGTTTCAGCATTTCCTCTTCCAGAGCCCTCTAGAAAGTAAGCACACAGTGACGTTGCTCACAACTGGCTCCGTCTTTCTCCTAGGATACCCTTTTTCCACTGGCCTTGCAGAAGATCTTCCTTTCCATGAGACAGGCCTAGAGGTGCTTCTTTCCGTCTCCTTACTTCCACCTGCGCTAAAGCGAGCCTCAGGAGTTTGCCTCCCTGAAGAACTTTTGCCTGGAACCATCTACTACCTGGCAGCTATTACCGACAGGTGTGGCCCAAGGAGTCAGTCAAGCCTCCATTAGTTCGTGCATCACCCAGGAAAATGACGAAATCAACCCAAATCAGCCCCTCTCCTGGTCGCCCAGTGGAGGTAAACAAAGTCATGGTGGAGGCGAGCTGAAAGAGACGTTGTGGGCGCCCAGGTGGGAATGAGACGCCCTGGGCCGGTCCAAGCTCCTTTCCGCTGCTCAGGCGGCTGCCAACCGAAGCGCGCACCTCCCGCGGAGCAGCTGCTTTGGGGACTGGACCTGGGGGGCGGGTCCTTGGGGCGCGGGGCGGGACCAGGTTCCTCCGGACTCGTGGGGCGGGTCCTCGGGGAATGGGGCTGGGATAGGAGGCGTGTCCTTGGGGCGCGGGGCGGGGCCAGGGTCCTTGAAATTCGTGGGGCGGAGTCTTGGGGCGGGTCCTGAGGCGCGGTGGGCGGGTGCTTGGGGCACGGGACGGCACTAGGGTCTTTGAGACTCTTGGGGCGGATCTTCGGGGCGCGGGGTGGTCATGGGGGGGGCGGGTCCTCGGGGCGCGTGGCGGGACGTGGGTCCTCAGGACTCGTGGAACGGGTCCTCGGGGGCGGGTCCTCTGGGCGCGGGGCGACTGGGGCCCTGGGAGCTTCGGGGGCGGGTCCTGGGTGGGCGTGAAGTGGGGGGGTTTGCGGCTCCTCGGGAAGCGGGGCGGGACGTGGGTCCTTGGGGCTCGCGGGGCGGGTCCTCGGGGCGCGAGGCGGAGATTGGGGGCGGGTCCTCGGGGCGGCGCGCGCCGGCGTCCCCCGCTCCTCCCGCGCGCGGCCCCTGGAGTCCCGAGGCGCGCGGCCAGCCCAGCTCCGGCCGCCGCACTCAGAGCAGCGGGGCGGCCGAGCGCGCGCGGGCCGGGCCGGGCCGGGCCGGGGCCGGGGCGGGGGGCGCCGCCCCCAGCGTCCTCCCGCAGCCCCGGGAGCGAGGAGCCAAGGCGAGGGCGAGGCTGAGCGGGGCCGGAACCATGAACCGGAGCTTCCACAAGTCTCAGACCCTGCGCTTCTACGACTGCAGCGCGGTGGAAGTCAAGAGCAAGGTAAGCCGGAGCCGGCAGCCTGCGCCCCCCTGCGAATGAATGGGCGCCCCACGGGGGGACCGGGCGCTGCGGGAGGTACCGGGGCTGGCGACAACTGTGAAGCGCGGGCGCCTCCGTGAGCTGCGCGGGGCTCCAGCCGCCCTTCCCGCCCCTGCGCGGACACAAAGCCCGGCAGCCCGGTGGGTGCAGCTGCAGCCCGGCGGTAGGAGGGCCGCGCGGGCTCCGGACCCCCGCGGGAGGAGCTCTTTTGTTCCACGAGCGGGAGGCGACCCGGCGCGCCGCACGGTGGAGGGGCGGCGTTTCCGGGGCGACCCGGGGACTGCGCGGAGTGGGGTCGCGGAGGTGGGGGGTCGGGGGCCCGGGCTGGGGAAGGGCCTGGCCGCGCCTCCTCCATCGCTGCGGGGAAGCCTCGGGACGGCGAGGGGAGAGCGGCGGCGGGCCGGGACCCCAGGCCCGGGCTCTCCGGGCGCGCCCGGCCGGGGGCCCCTCCCGCTGTCCGCGCCCCGGCCCGAGCGTGCCCCAACTTGAGGGCTGCTGTGCGCGTTCAGGTAATTGGCTGATAGGATCTGGCGCTTCTGCCCTCTGCGGGGGCGGCTCATTCGCGGCTGACGCTTTTGTCTGCGAGGGTCTTGGTTGCAGTAGTTCAGGGTCCCGGAGGAGGGGGCTCCTCGGGCCCTAAGCCGCTGCCTGGGAGTTGGCCCTCTCTCCTCCTGTGAAGCGAGGCGGAGCAGCTCGGCCCGTGGGAGAGGGGCAGGGCCGGGGGTGGGCTCAGATCCCCATCTCCACGCGCACTGGGGCGCCGGGCGTTCGTGTCTAAGGAGCCGAGTCCGCCGCCGCCCACCCACCCCTGCCCAGGCCGCTCCTGCCGGCCAAGGGCGGAGGGAGTCCTTTGGTAAAGGATTTACAGGGCATCCGCCGAGGATGGGGAGCGACTTCTCCGCAATAGACCAGTGAGTTGCAGGATTTCATTTTCGTCTTGAGGAGACAGTCTTTTTATGAACCCCTCACTTCTATTACGGTCGCACCCTTCCCCCGAATGCTAATTCTGTGGCCCTCGCCGGGAACGCATCCCGTCTTTAGCCCAGGAGTGCCCGCACCCTCTCAAATCAAATGTGCCTGCTGTGAGTTGTGTGAGGGAAGAACCCACAAGCATGAGTGGGAGCTCCAAACAATTGTGGGTCCTTTAACTGGGTGGGGACGGCTGATTAGAGCTCTTGGACCACTACCATAGGCAGTGAGCGCAGTTCTTTTTTTTTTTTTTTAACTTTTTATTTTGAGATTATCATGGATTCACAGGCATTTGTGGGAAAGAATACAGAGACTCCCACGAAGATAACTTGTAGCAGCACAGTGTCACATCCAGGACCTGGTCATGCACTTTGCTGTGTGCACGTCCCTGCGATTACCAGCAAGTACCGACAAGACACAGAACACTTCCATCAAGGGTCCCTCCTGCTGCTCTTTTAGGCTGTTTGATTTCAAGTGTAAACTGACTAACATTAAGCACTTTTCCTGAGTCACACAAGCCACATTTCTCATGCTAGTAGCCATGTGCGCCTTGCAGCTGCCCGATGACATGCACAGCTCCAGAGGACTTATCTAGAAGGATAGATCTGGAGGAGATGCCCTCACCAGGCCTTATCACACAGTTCTGGACTGCTGGTACTGTGCAGGCTACTGGGAGCCTGCCTTTGCCTCTCCTCCAGGATGGGAGTGGGGGCTGTGGGGGTTCTGGCTGCCAGCCGGCTACATCAGACTGCCCTACCCCTTCTAGCTCCCCAGTGAAGAAGGGGTACTGGCCCCAAGCCTGGGTTCAGGTTCAGATGCCGTGAATATTCCCCAGGAGGTGAGTGGCAGAGCTGGAGTTTTGGTTGAATTTGGGAGCACCCCTGGAAGGGCCACACCATCCTGGGTGCAGGGGGTACCTGCTGAGCTGGCTGATTACACACACGCACGCACGCACGCGCGCTCCATTTTGGATGATGGGGCTTGCCTTACTGTCTGTCCAGAGAGTCCACCTGGCTCTTCTTTCTGTGTACACCCTCCCACGGACCCCCTTAGTAGTTAAGAATATTTGCTACTGTGGTGCCCATCTCTGCAGGGAGCCTTTACTCCAGCTGTTGCTGTCAAAATACAGGAAGCAAAACTTTATGACAATGATGTCTTTATTCAGGTTAAGTGTAGCACCATAACACCTTGGTTTGGGTGTGGGGAAAATGGTGCTAGGGGCTGAATCCAGCCATCTCTGCTACCTACTTCTCTTTTGAACTTTCAGGAAAGTCATTTAAACTTTCAGAGCCCTGGTTATTTCATCTGTAAAATGGGCATTGTTCCTGCTCTGCTTGCCTCCCAGGACAAAATGAGGTAATGAATGTGACAGCACTTTGAAGACTTAGGAGTTCCTGCAGATGTAAAAGTTCCTTTTGCCCCTCCTCCTGTAAGCCCTGCGGTGTGGAGGGAGGGACAGTGCGCGGGCCTGGGGGAGCATGTTCAGTTCCAAGGGAGCATGTCTCGGCCCCTTTTAGGGGTAGCAAGAAGACCCGTGCTAGGGGAGGTGTCTTCAAGGGGCGGAGGGGCTAGAGAAGACTTTGTAGCTGTCTGAAGGAGCACAGCCACCCTCTGTCAGCAGTGTGCTCCCCCGCCAGCCCGTGCCTTCTAGTTGAAGACCCTCATGCTAAGGGAGGCCCATCATTGTCCAGAGGTCCGTCTCAGTCGTGCCTCATTCACATTCTCTTAACCTGGTGGCCTGTCTGCCATAGTTATGTGGCTTTCCCCCACCTGAAGTGCTCTCTGAGAAGCCACCCTGTGCACCAACCCTCTCCTATAAAGCCCATCCGATGCCTTCACTGGGCCAAGCCTCCAGCTCCCGCCCCTTCTCATCTTACGGACCTCGCCACGGTGCTGGCGCAGAGCAGGCGTCACAGCAGAGACCAAGAACTGTGTTTACAACTCAGGGGCCTGGCATGTCCATTGTGTTTGGGGGGGATTCACTACTAGGGGCTTTAATCCAGTGTTTGCTACTTCGTTTAGATCATGTTGGAGGCTTTTCTGGATTCTAAACAAATATGTTGTCATTGTAGAAAATTTAAAAACCATATCAGGCACAAAATGGGATAGTTCTCCCATCCAGAAACGAGCCACTGTTGAGTGTCGCTGCATGTCCTCTTGACCCTTTATATGCACATATACATGCGTAAATCTGTGTTTTACAGAATCAGGATATTTTATAGGCATGTTATTCTATAACCTGCTTTCCCCCGTCAACAGTGTGTTTACTCATGTCATTAGTATTTTTTTAAAAAGATTTTTAAAACATATTTTAAAATTACTACCTAGTATTTATTTTATGTGTAAACCATAATTAATTTAACCAATATCCTATTTGGGTCTTTTCCAGTTGTTTTCTGTAATAAACAATGACATGAATAAGATTTCTGTTTAAAGTCTATATAAACATTACAGAGTATGTATAGCTATGTTACGTGAAGGGTATAAAGAACCACTGGCTCTATGAAGTCAGTGCAGAACTCTTATTATTTCTTCAGAACAAATTCCTAGAGTGCCGTTGCTATGTTAAAAATATGCACATTTATAAGACTTTGAATATACATTGCTAAATTTTCTTGCAGAAAGTCTCTTCTGCAGATTTATATACTGTTTCATGTCTGTCCATCCATCTCTGACACCCCTCCCTCCCTCTAGCACTGGTATTTTCTTTTCTTTCTTTCTTTCTTTTTTTTTTTTTTAGTTATTTATTTTGAGAGAGACACACAGAGAGAGAGAGCACAAGTGGGAGAGGGAGAGAGAGAGCTGAAATCCAGAGTCGGACACTTAACGGACGAAGCCACCCAGGTGCCCCCAGCACTGGGTGTTGTTATTTCCCAGTTAGATAAGTGGAACCCCATCCCATTGTTTTAATTTGTATCCTTGAATTACTGCTGAATTGAACATTTTTATATTTGTGGGCTATTTGTCTATTTTTAGCTGCCTTTCTTTCCTATATGCTTTGTTTTTTCTGTTAGTGTCCTTCCTTATTTTTTTATTGAATTATGGGAACTGCTTGACAACAGATTTTCCAAACTGTGCTGAGGTAACAGTGTTTAAGCACACGTATTTCCTCTGGTCTTCAGACCTTATCTCTGGCTGAGGTTGTTGGCTGCCCGGTGCTGCAGGGACACGTCTTTCTATCTGGTGGGCTGGGGGCTGGGCCAGGCCCTCCCCATGGGGTGATTGGGCACTTGCCTGCTGCGAGCCAGTTAAGAACTGCCTGACACAGTTTGACTCACCTGTGTGTGTCAGCTACACCCTTCTAAGATTCCAGTTTTGTATGTGTGCACGTCTGTGTTCAGACAGGTTTGGTGACTCGATGTGGGAAGCTGCAGCTGGAGGAGACTCTCACCAGGGACCCAGCTAGCAAATGTCAGTCTAGTAGGTGCCAGTGGTGTCCGTGCCAGCTACTTTGTGGGTGTCAAAGCCCTGTGAACTCTCCCAGGGGGGCACCCCAACTAGCCAGGTGTTCGAGCCTTTTTCTAGGACCCTTGGCATTTCAGATAGAGTGTTCTCCCAGTTTCAGGAAAGGAGTATCAAGAATTGGAAGGTACAACCATTCGGGTCATCAGAAGCTCTAAGATTTGAGAGTCATATTTAGAATCAGTAAAAAAAGGAGAGGCATCCTGACCCTTTCCCATGAAGGTGCCTCCACACCTTTGGAGGCAAGCAAGGAAGGAGCGAGGAATGATGGCAGCAGAAGCCTCCATGACAGTAGTCATTTAACAAGGGAGCATCAGGAGTTAGCTCAAGACTTGTTCAGCTGGCTGAGTACCTGTTTACTGGATCACCACTTCCTCTTGGCAAATTTCTAATCTTCTGTGAACCTGGGAGTGATGGGAGGTGCTGTGACCCTTGTTAGACCCTGCAGCCTTCCTTGGAAGCTACCCCTGGGCACAGTAGGGGTATACAGACGGTCCAGGCTGGACACTCCCTCCCCTCTGTGTATAGGG